CTGTCTGGTCAAGAACATGAAGGTCAAATCCCTGGAGGAGATTTGTCTCTTCTCCCTGCCCATCAAGGAATCATTGACTTTCCTGGAGGCACCCTTCAAGAAGGAGGTTTTGAAGATTATGCCTGTGCAAAAGTAGACCTGTGCTGACCAGGTTCAAGTGATCCAAGGAAGTAGCCACTGCCATCCATTGGGGCCATCACCTTAGCCAAGCTCTTGATTGTACCTGTGCAGTGAGGTTATTGGAGGAACAAGATTGGCAAGCCCCACACTGTCCCTTGCAAGGTGACCAGCCACTGTGCTTCTGTGCTGATGTGCCTCACCCCTGCTCACAGGGGCACTGGCATTGTCTCAGCCCCGTGCACAAGAAGCTGCTGCTGATGGCTGGTGTCAACAACCACTACATCTCAGCCAGGGACTGCACTGCCACCCTGGGCAACTTTGCCAATGCTACCTTCAGTGCCACCGCCAAGACCTACAGCTACCTCACCCTTGACATCTGGAAAGAGATTGTATTTACCCAGTCTTTCTATCAGGAATTCACTGACCATCTTGTAAAGCTCCATGCCAGAGTTTCTGTGCAGAGGACCCAGGCTCCAGCTGTGGCCACCACATAATTTTACACAAGAAAAATAAAGTAAATTAAGCCTGTTTTTAAAAAGCGTTCAAATCTACAAACTGTACTGAAAAATAATCTAGCAGACCCCTGTGTAATGTACAGATTTAACAGATATGAACATTTTCCTCTATCTGCATCAGATCTCTTATTTTTAGCAATAAAATATTACACAGATTAAGCCCCTGGCCCCTCTTCTCTGTTCCCTTCCTCCCTCCCTCTGTCCCTAAACTCAGGTTGCTGTGAATCACTCCTATGTGCATTTTGCACTTTTATTCAATATGTGTGAGTACACTTGATGATGCAGAGTTGTTGTTTTGTGTGTGTAAAGTGTGGGAAAGCTAGTGCAGGCTGGAATAACTTGTTTCTGCCCTTGATGGTACGAGCATCCACAGGAGAAGATGGCTTCCTTCATCATGGATTAAACACACACCTGGCCCAGGAGTTGGAGAGGTTGAAGGAAGATCCAGGAGAAGGTGAAATAATTGCTGGCCTGGCTGCTGCCCTATGCAGAAATGATGAGTCAGCAGCCAGCCACCCAGACAAGCTGTGTGATCTAAGAAATGGCAGCTGCTTCACTTCTGACCTCCAAATTTTGCCCAAGAATCAGTTTGCCCATGCTAATCAGACACATGGAGAAGAGATATTTCCGTGATATAGTTAATTCAGTCTAGTCAAGCTGACATATATCACAAAACTACTACACAGAGACTGGAGGGGAATAGTGAGAAGATGGTGAGTAGCTGCTGGGGAGATAGTCACATGACCAGATCTGCTCTGCTCTTACATCTTAGTCTAATAACCTGTAAGTGGCTTTTTTTAAGAGTTGCAGGAGTATGGCACCTTTGTTACAATTGACCAATAGTGAAGCATTACTACTAATTAAATCCGTGTCTTACATTAGGGCTCACTCTGTGTTGTACAGTTCTATGGCTTTTTACAAATGCATAATGTGATGTATCCACCATTACAATATTATACAAAATAGTTTCACTCATCTGAAAATGTTCCTTGCTTCACCTCTTCACCCTGGCCCCCACCCCATGATTCCCTTGGCAACTACTGATCTTTTTTACTGATCTCTATAGTTTTGCCTTTTCTGGAATATTGTATAATTGTAACCAAACAGTACATTGTCTATTCAGATTGTCTTCCAAAGTGGCTGTATTACTTTGCATTCCCATCAACAATTAATGAGAGTTCTGTTGTTCCACAGCCTCAATGGCATTTAGTAGTGTTGTTTTGGATTTTAGACATTCTAATAGACATCTAGACATATCCCATCATTGTTTTAATCTGCAATTCCCTGATAACATGATATTGATCAACTTTTCATATACTTCTTTGCCATCTGTATATCTTCTTTGGTGAGACATCTGTTCATAACTTTTGTCCATTTTTAATTGGATTATTTATTATCTTAGGGTTGAGTTTGAAGAGTTCTTTGTATATTTTGGACCCAAGTTCATCATCAGATATGTTTTGCAAATATTTTATCCCAGCCTGTGACTTTTCATTCTCTTAACAGCCAATAATTTTTTTTAAGATTTTATTTAATTTTTAGAGAGGGGAGGGAGGGAGAGAGAGAGAGAGAGAGAGACATCAATGTGTGGTTGCTGGGGGTCATGGCCTGCAACCCAGGCATGTACCCTCACTGGGAATTGAACCACGACACTTTGGTTAGCAGCCTGCGCTCAATCCACTGAGCTATACCAGCCAGGGCTACAGCCAATGATTTTTTAAAGGTGAAAGATTTATACGACCTGAAGAGAAACCAGAGTATAACAGCCAATAATTTTTAAAAGCCCCTTGAAAGGCTCATAGACCCATGGCAGACATGCTGTCCATTGATATTTCTTTTTTTTCGATTATACTCTAGAATGCTGTGAGTGAGGGAAGGGATAAAGTCAAAGTTATCCATCTTGACCTACATTGGTATATGGCAGTAGGTAAGGACCTAAAAACAGTTCCCCCCCTCCAAAATGTCAACAGTTATCTCAAAATGCCTATTAAAATTTTTAAAACAACACCCATTAAGAAACTTCTTATTCACCTGTCCAATGATATTTAAATAGAAAAATACTTCACAAGGGGCAGAAGGGTGGAGATGTTTGAGAGAAAAAACAGCTGTTGTGAAATTAGGCATCATGGAATAGCAGCTGCTAATCTTTCTTCCAGAAAGCCCACCTGGATAACATTAGTCCCTGACACCTTCTTCTACTTCTCTGCCTTTATGAAGCATTTGAAGCTGGACTCAGCTTCTCCCCCAAATCTGTTATCTCAATGGTGATCCCATGGTCCCCTTGTCCCTGGGCCAGACACTGAGGACGTATCCTTCATTCCTCATATGGATAAGTCCCCACATTGTTAACAGTACCTCCCCCAACACTTCCCTTTCTTTCATGTCCCCATTTTAAAGTCTGCTCCACCTATTCTACATCCCAGAGCCTTGGACCTCATGCTGGTTGCCATCCCCTTCCCCTACAGCCAATCAATTACATCCACTCAGTCATCTTCTCTCTGCTCCGCTGGACCTACTGTGGACCAGCAATATCCTTGCTCCCCACTCCTCATTCTGCTCCACCCTCCTCCCTGGGTTCCCAGATTTAGTGTCACTCCACCACCTCTCCCTCCCTTCCATTTGTTTTTTCAACAACTTTTTAGAGTACAGCTCTGTATTGGACACTAAGAGCAGAGTGGTGACCTAGGCAAGTATGTTGCATGAAAGGTCCCTGAATGTTACCATTTTCCAGGACTCTATTTGAGGCCAATGGGCTCTCCAGAACTCCAGCTCTAGCACCTAGTGCTTTCTGGGGCATCCCACAGACCTCTCATATTCCCTGTAATCCCAAATTGACCCACCCCCGTTGCTTATTTTCTACCCTCCCCACCTGGTGATGCATCTATTCCCCCATTGAACTGTGAGCTCCGTTGCATGAAGACTGGGACTGTCTCAGCCCCTGCAGTGTCCCACACACAGGGTTGGCTCATAAATGTGATGGAATGGTAATGAGGCAGGAGACAGCATAGGAAGAACTCTGAGACTGTAATACTGTCACTGGCCAGCATTGAGCACCCTGGTTGCCAGGAAATGCCTTTTACCAATTAGGTAGATTAAACAGTAAACCGAGGCAGCACGGAGGAAGGAGACAGGAATCACACGCTAACTCAGCAGTACTGAGCCTGGTCTGATAATATTGCCAGGTGTTCCAAAATCACAAGAAACACTATATTAGCAAGAAAGAAGGAAAGTCCTTCAAATTCTATGTGACATTTCCACTATCTGGGAAAGAAAGCCTTGAAACTGTGCTTTCATCCCAAGGCCTGAATGTGGGAGAGGGTCCCCGGTACCCAAAGAAAAAGCCCATAAAACAACTTTGGTGAATTGCCTACCTCTAGTTACTATCTGTCCCCTGATGCTTACAGAAAGAGCCCATAAATACCTTTGGAAAGTGCCCCAAATTTAATTGACTGCCTCCTGTCACGTATTTGTTTTACAATAAGATGAACAAATGGGGTCTGGAGCAAGATAAGGATTTGGGCTAACAGACCCCCACACATACCTAAGTTTGGGTAGTCACATCCCCCCAGGAAAGCTGCCACCACATGTACCCATTAATCAATATGTAACTTTTTCCCCTTCCTATCCCACCAACTATATAAGTCCTGCGAACAAAGGACTCACTTTCTCTCGGGGGCTCAGGGTGCTCTTGGCTCTTGGGCCACAGGGCCTCTGGCCACCCAGCCTCAGGCTGCCCAGTGACTTGCCACTCTGGTCTTCAGCTGCTCTTGCTTTTCTCACCCTACTTTGCCCTGAAACTTTGCCTTTCACCCCCTACTCTACCCAGTCCTGCTCTCTTCCATGGGAACAGGCCACTAATAAACTGATTACATACTACTAGATTTACTGATATGTAATTCTTTACATGCTTCAGCAAGAACCAGGTCTCTCCCGTCAACAGTAAGGACAAAGAACTCTGAAAGAAAGCATTCCAGGGCCATATTAGGGTCATGCTATCTGCCCTCTATCCTTCACGCAGACCTAAGACACCCTGTTTCTGAAATTAAAGAGCTGTAAGTTTGGCATCTCCTTCCTTGGCTCTCATTCTGCTAGAATGAAAGTTCCTTTTTGGCAAGAAAATCAAGCGAGGCATTAGGGCGCCTCTTAAGCGATAAGTTGGTAGTGAGAGGGAGGAAGCAGAAAGCAAGTGGGCCCCACTGCTTTGTCCACGCCCCCTTCATCTTCATTTAAAGGGATTCATCGTGGAGAAGTGAGAGATGCAAGGCCTCTCCGAGTCCCTGCAGAGCCCGGAAGCTCCGGTTTGCCTGGCAACTGATCAAGTCACAGTCGGTGCGCGCGCTGGTGACGTCAGAGGTGGGCGCCACTCTTGAAGTGAGTGTGGGAGGTGGCGGCCGAGGCGCTGTCATGGAGGTGGTACAGGAAGCGCGGGAACTGCTCTGCTGGGCGGCGGAGGAGATGGAGGCGCCGGAGGCTGCCCGGGTGCCGGAGTCGACGCTGCGCAGGTGAGGGTCCTTCAGGAATGAGGATTCCCCAGCCTAGAGAGAGTGTCTCCGGGAGAGACAACCTCGTCTTTACTGAAGACGCGCCTTCCTCCTCCTCCGCGCCAGTGAGAATAACCTCCAAGGGCGCTCCCCTCAACCCCCGAGTAGTATACCCTGGAAGAGGATATTGCATCTGAGTGAGGACGTTATGACGGTAACCCTCACACTCCACCCGCACCCCGTGAGGGCGCCCAGAGGTCCTTGGCACCAGTGAAGGTCCTCCGTGAGATATTAAAGCCCTCTTCCCATTTGTAAATAGGATCTCCTGGGTAAGGAAGGGCTCCCTGCAGCACCGCCCCCCCCCACCCACCCATGCCCGCCAGTGAGGACCCCACCCACTGGAGATTAAATCTGTAGGAGTGATACCCCACAAACTTTAATGACAGAGCACTTCCTGGCAGTATACCCCTTGCCCCCACCTCTGGAAGTGACTGGAAGTAATCCCCTCCACAGAGAAAGGAAGCACCCACCAGCGAATAAGACTACCCGCGCGCCCAGTGAAAATCCCTCCTCCTTCATGACCCTCCTAGGAAAGAATATCTTGGCCCCAAAAATATGAATCCTCCCTCCTCCCTGGAAATAAGAATTCCCTAGTAAAGACCTTATCCCCCACCACCACCCTGGGAATGAAGATCCTCCACCCTGTGTGATGCCCCAGGCACACCCTTACATGCTATCCCCACAGGCTGTGCCTGGGCCAGGGGGCTGACATCTGGGCCTATGTCTTACGACACGTGCACAGCCAAAGGTGAGCCTGACTGCATAAGGGAGGCTATGGCAAGAGAGGGGACACAGACAAGTCCCACAGTAACTCCTCTTCCTCCTACCTCTCCAATGTAGAAACGTCAAGAAGATCCAGGGAAACCTACTCTGGTAACTGATCCTCAAAGCTATCCCTTCCTATCTTCCCCAGTCCCATCCAGCCCTTTCCCCACCCAGAGCCTCACACCTTCTGGAAGCCTCTGTCATCCCCTAACTCTGGTCTCATTTCCTCAGGTATGGCCACCAGTACAGTCCAGAGGTAAGAAGCTACAACATTTTCTTTCATCCAAAAACAGGACTATAGATCTTCTGCTTTTGGCTTAGCCTTGTGTTGGATGATAATGGGGATACTGAATCACAAAACAGCCTTGATCCATGTATTCATAATTATAGTCCAAGGGGAGACAGGATGAACTGGGGGGAAGGGGAGGACATAGATATGAGGCACCAAATCTGGTGAGGGTAGATGGGAGAATGGACTACTTTGGGAGAGAGCTTGAGGCCAGTATGGAACTCAGTGTGTGCCAGCGGTCCATGACATCTAGGGGAATGCTTTCAGAAGACCTCAGGACTCCTAGATGAGGAGCTTTTGAGGAAATAAGGACTGGGACAGAGATGTGATGTCATCATCAATGCAGAGACAGGAAATGTGTTGGGAGGGTGCTGTAATGCCAGGAGAAAGGAGTGGGGCCGGGATAGCATCCTAGTGCTCCTCTGGGCCTAGAGATTCAGACACAGTTAACTGCCCAGGAAAAATCTGCCACCCCGCCGGGCAGGTGAAAAGACAACTGGTGCTCCACAAAGATTGATCAGGCCAGGCTGAGCTGCAGCCAGGCCATTTACCTGAGCCTGTACCTGATCCCACCAGGCCTGTCGGAAGCTGGAGCTGGAAGCTGCTGTTGCCCGCCTACGGACAGAGATCCAGGAGTTAGACCAGAGCTTGGAGCTGATGGATCAGGAGACCGAGGCTCAGGGTGACCCACAGGGCTGGATAGATGGGCAGCAGAACAGGTGTTGGGGAAGTACTCATGGCCATGCCTGTTCCTCACATAGACATGGTCATGGAGCAGGCGCTGCAGAGCATGCGAGACACCCAGCGATGTGCTCTCCTCCTCCGGGCCCAAGCTGGGGCCATGCGAAGACAGCAACATGGACTCCAACATCCCATGCAGTGGCTACAGAATCAGCTCAGGCACCTGCAGGACATGGAAAAGTAGGTGTCAAGTACCCAGGGGCCGCCTGCACCAGGCTGGGTGGAAAGATGTTTTCCTCAGAAACCTCAGTACTCTGCCCTAACCCTTCTTGAGTTGTAGAGTTCTGAGCTCCACTCTTTAGGATTTAAAGCCCACAAGACCAGGGAAATTTTGTCATCTCAGCTACCTGTATTTGTGCCTAGAATGGTAGCACCTATATATCTAGAATAGCACCACTGGGAAAGAACAGTAAACAAGGGACAACCCTGCCCTCATGGAGTTCACACTTGATGCAGAGGAGGCAGATGGTAAACTAGAAAGCAAACAAACCCTGCAATTGGAGGTAGAGATAAGTGCTTTGAAGAAAAGGTGATACAATAGGGGAGAAGGACAGGCTCCTCTAGGTAGGATGGTCAGAGAAGGCCTCTCTGAGGAGGTGACATGACTTGGGGAAGGAATTTCCATGAAGACAGACAGCAAAAGCAGAGACCCTAAGGTTGGCATATGGGAAGAACAGCCAGGAGGACAGTTCAGCCTAAGCATCACAGACAAAAGGGAGAGAATAAGGAGGTAAGGTTGGAGAGGTGCACATAGCACCACAGAGCCACTGGAAATCTCCTCAGAGGCCAAGTTCATGCCCTGGCTTGACCACTTAGAGCTGTGTGACCTTGGGCAAAGTTTGTGCCTCAGTTTCTAAGATCTATAAATTGGGGACAATATTACCTACTTTATATGGTAGATATGATAATTAAGTTAAATCACTTAATAGGAGAGTTTCCATTGTTATTATTCTGAGGGTGATGGGGACAAATCACATTGTTTTGAGAGTTTTAAGCAGAACAGTGACATGGCCTGTCTGAGGTTTGAACAGAATCACTTTAACTGCTGGGTGGAGAAAACAGACTGCATAGAGTGAGAGCAGGGAGACCAATAAGGAGGCTAATGGAATGATCCCTCCAGGAAATGACAGTGGCCTAATTTTGGAGGTGGCCTCTGAGATTCAGGCTCAGTGATCCCTGTGACTAACTTTGCTGGCAGCAGGAGGGGGACACAGACATCTGTTCTCCCAGCTCCCTCTAGGGACCCCAGCCCCAAATGCACTCCTCTCTCCAGGAAGGCTAAAATGGATGTAACCTTTGGACCCTTGACATCAGCAACCCTGGGCCTGGAGCCTATGGTCCTGGTAAGAGTCCTGGGCCATAGGGGAAGGGTCAGGTCTAGGGTCAGGTGGACCAGGCCCCAGGTTCCCCATAATGTCCCATCCTCTTCCCAGAGTGATGTCCGAACAGCATGCACCCTCCGAACTCAGTTCCTGAAAAACCTTCTGGTTCCTCAGACTAAAGGAGGCAGCACCCCGTGAGTGTCCTCAGAAACCCTGCAAAGAACCTAGGCTTTGGGAAGGGTTACTTGTCTGTTACTTCCTCGGACATTGGGCCTCTGGGCTGTGTTAGCCCCAGGGCCTGCTCTGACACAACTCCCAGGCTGGGAAGAGGCAGAGACAAACTCACCACAGACAGTGACAACCCACATAGTTAGGGCTATTGGCGGGTGGGGAAGCCTGAGAGGCTCTGGGTACTGAGAGGAGACACTCTACCCGAGTAAGGAAACAGGGAGGATGGGTTTTCTGGTCAGGAAGCTTAGCAAAGGTAAAAGGTAGAGAGGGCATTCCAAGCAAGCAGCAGGTGTGAAAGGGCCCATGGCCAGCAAGTTGGTACAAGAGGGAAATTAGCAAGCATAGATGAACTTGCTTTCCTCATCTGTAAACTGGGGACAGACACAGCTCCTACTTTGTAGGGTGGTGGTGATCATTAGAGGAAGAATTGGTAGTCTTGTAACATTCTTTCCCCCTCCCATAACCCCACAGAACCCCTCAAGAAGACCACTTTGGAACTTCCTACCAGCAGTGGCTTAGCTCAGTGGAGGTAGGTGGGGGCTCTCAGGAAAGGCCACACCCACTGCCCCATGATCAAACCACAGGGTACCAGGACCTGATTCTTCATCCCTGCCCCATCCTCATGTGGTCCCAGTTCACACCCCTGCCCCGATCCTGCCCTGACTTCAACCCTCCCTGCACCAGACTCTGCTGACAAACCACCCTCCAGGCCATGTCTTGGCCGCCTTGGAACACCTGGCTGCAGAACGGGAGGCAGAAATTCAGTCCCTGTGCAGTCCGGAAAGGCTCCAAGATACAGAGATAGCCAGGTGTGTGGTAGTGCTTCCATAGGCAGGCAGGGCGGGTGGCTAAGTGACCTGGGATAGGGTCGAGACCAGGCACAGTAATCTGCTGATAGGGTCAGAACTGAAATCCAGGAACCAAACTCAGCTGGGCTGACACTGATTGCTCTCAAGTGTCCAGCAAGGGGACAGGGCCCCTCCCTCAGCAGTTTCACCCCCACCCTCACAGGTCCCAGGTACCAGACCAATCAGATGCCAGCCAGGCCCTGCCATCCGTGGTTCATCTCATCCAGGTGACCCCCAAGCACCCTTCCCAGGCTCTATCCCCTTCTCATCTCAAGACTCTCTCAATCCCCTCACCTCCAGGGACAATGGCCACCCTAACTTTGTACCCCTGCCCCAGGAGGGCTGGCAAGCTGTGAGTGTGCTGGTCACCCAGCGGGGCCTCCTCCTGAAGGAGCATCAAATCCTGACCCGGCGCCTCCAGAGCCTGATGGAAGAGGTGGAGAAATGTACCCTGGGATCCTGCAAGAGGTGAGGGGCTCCCTGGGCAGAGGCCTCTAGGCCAACTCTCTCCCGGGGGTCTCAGAATATTGGATTTATTCTGCCCTTGGGGCTCTCATCTCTGCCTCTGTGCTCTCCATGCATTTGCTCTCCTTGTGCATCCTTGCAAATGTCATCTCCCCTCCTCCACTGTTAGTCTTAGTCACCTTCCTCTCCATTGCTCTCTTCTGCTTGTCCCCCAGGCAAGCATTGGTGCTAGAGCTCCGAGACTGTGGCCTGCGGGCAGAGCTCAAGGCCCTGTGTGCCCAGAGCCAGGAACTGGAGGAGGCTGCTGGACTGCGGCAGCTTCTGCTACAGGAGCTGCAGGCCAAACAGCAACGGATCCTGCACTGGCGCCAGCTGGTGGTGAGAAGTAGGACTCCGGGAGAAATGGCAGGGCCTAGTGGAGGGTCAAAGTGAGGCTGGGAGCCTTAGGATCCAGAACTGGGCTTCCTGGTTAGGGCAGAGGCCCAGGGTGAATCTCCCAAGAGGAAGCAGACCTGTGGAAAGGGGATGTCAGGGCCCCAGGCTGAGAGTTGGGAAGGAAAAGCAACCTGTCTTAATGGCCTCCTGGCTGTCCAGGGGGAGACACAGGAACAGGTCCGCCTGCTCATCAAGGGCAACTCAGCCAGCAAGATGCACCTGTGCCAGAGCCCAGGGGAGGTGAGTTGGGATTTGGAGTAAGGTCTGGGTAGGGCCAGGTCTCCTAGGGATGGGGATGGGTAACCTCAGGCTGCCCCTCTCCTTTTCTTTCCCTAAAGGTGCTGGCTCTGGTTCAGCAAAAAGTGGTCCCCACATCCAAGGCGGTGACACCACAGAGCCAGGAGCTGCTTCACTGTCTGGAAAAGGAGGCCCAGCACCTGCCCCACCTTCTGCTGCTCCAGCACAGCCCTGGAGGGTGAGACTAGGGCCATCCCGTATATCCCCTCCCTTGGTGAACTGTCCCACTCCAAGACAATAATCCCAGGCCCAAATGTCCCTAGGCTACCAGACCTCACCCTCAGGTAGGTCCTCAGCTCCACTCTGGAATCCTAGTTCCCAGACCCACCTCCAAGTTCCTGGACTTCCCAAGCCCACCCCTCAGCCCCCACAAACTCTTCAACCCAAGACTCCCTCTCAGTGCACCCAACCTGGACTTTCCCCCCAGATTGCAGCCCCTGCCTACAGTCCTGCCATCCATCCACCAGCTTCATCCTGCATTCTCACAGGGCTCCAGCCTCATGGTGCTTAGCCACATGCTGGGGCTCCCCACAGGGAAGGTGAGTGCCTGTCCCCTAGGACCTATCTTCCCATCCCTACCCCCAGCTAAGGTGATTGTCCTTTTCCCCTCCCTCCAGGCTCCAGAGCTGCTTCTCCCGAAGGCTGCTTCTCTTCGCCAGGACCTTCTGTTCTTCCAGGACCAGTGGAGTCTCCGGTGCTGGGATCAGCTCCACATGAAGACCAGCCTACCACCTGGACCATCCACCCAGGGTAGGCCTGCACTGCTTCCGTGTCTAGCATTCTTGCCCATTCCCAGGACCGTCAGCCTCCAGAACTAATCAAAGAACACCCACTGCTGACACAGAGCCTTCTGAGCACTGAGTGCTTTAAGCATGTTCATTATTTTCTTCTGCACAGCAGCCCCCGGGTGTTAGTGCTGCCATTCTCCCTTTTATAGGGGAGGCACATGGACACAGGCCTCAGTAGCTGCCCAGATGGAAGAACTAGAATTTGAATCCGGGCAGTCTGACTCCTGGTGGGTCTTTGCTCCTAACCACTAGGTGACACTGCCCACTAATTACCAAGTATTCATTTGTCACCATCCAAAGGTATACTTGAGTAATTAAAAGCTGGGCTATAGAGTTAAACTGCCTAGATTCTCTTCTCAGCATTACCTCTTGTGTGATCTCCCTGTACCTCAGTTTCCTCCTCTGTGGAGTAAGCATAAGGATAGTACCTTATAGAGCTGCTGGGAAGACATAGTCAGGTGACCCAAGCAAGGCATTGAACAGTGCAGGACATGCAGTCAGCGCTCTGTGTCTCTGGTGAGATTGCAATCATTTTGTGTGATCTAGTGCAGTCTCTTCCAGTCCTTACCATGAGGGAAGGAAGTAAGACTCAGTTTACCAATAAGGAAACAGAAACTCAGAAAAGTTGTTCATTGCTGGATTCCCCCAGCAAGCACTCACTGGGTACCTACCAGGGGCTGCCCCCAGCAGCTCAGTGGGGGAAAAGGCAAGAGCAGTCCAGCCCCAGGGATGTCCCCATGATAGAACCAAAGAGCAAAGAATCAAATAGACAAAAGAAGTGAAATGATGAATCAGGGTGCCGTCAGCAAAGTAGGAAGAGACCATTTTCAGGCCTTTGAGTTTCAGGCTCTCTGCCTTTCCCTTCTCTGATGGCCAGGGAGCCATGTGCAGGAATGGCCCAAGAGCCAGCACAGCTGCATCCCACCTCATGGCATTGTGGAATCTAAATGGGACTTAGTTCCCTCTGCTCCAAAAGCAGTTTTGTTTTTCTTAGGCCTGGTTTCCTTCCCTCAACAACTGATCCTGCCCTCCTCATCCAGGTGCCAAAGCCAGAAATCTGGGAGTCATCCTTAATTCCTCCCAGACCCCTAACCCTACCCACCCAACTTCAACCTGTCAGCAAGCCCAGGTCCCATCTCCCGAGTGCTCTAATCTGCCCCCACTCAACTAGCCTGTGGCTCAGATAAACTCACCTGACCACAGAAGGGCAAGTGTTATGCCCAGTGTCACAAGGCAAGGATGGGTTGGAGTCAGGATTCAGGCCCAAGGAGTCTGATCATACTGCCAGTCTGCACTTGCTCTAAGCTGGGCCTGTTCTGGGTCTGTGGAACAGGACTCTATCTAATCACAGTCCCTAGGGGAAAACAGTGCTAGAGTGAAAGGCTGCAGCAGTCTGAGGAGAAAGCCTTGGGGTGAGGAATGCTGGGAAGGGCTACTAAGGGAAAAGATGATGTCTCAAGTGGTCCTTGGTGGGTAGGTGAGGTTTTGCTGGGGAATAATGAGCAATGCCATATAATACAAACCCTCAAGTACAATGCTGAAGAGTTTGGACTCTGTCTTAGGGTCACTGGGGAGCCTTGGAGGGTTCCAAATAAGAAAAGGAAAGGATCAGGTTAGGCCTCAGGAAGATCACTTTGGCTGTCATGTAGAGGATGGGGCAGAGTGGGAGGCTGAGGCCTGGAACCTGGGAGGGAGGTTGGGAATGGGGGCTGAGTAGGGAAGGGGGAGGGAGCTGAGAGATAAGCCATGGGGATTGATGGCCTATCACTGACAGACCGTCAGGGGGAAGGTAGGCATCCAGGATGAGGTTGGGCAGGGAGGAGACAGTGGGCTTATCCCTGCGATGAGGACCTGGGAGGAAGGAAAGGTTTGGGAGAGATGCTGAGGTCAAGACTAGGTAAGTGGAGATGTATTTGGTAACCCATTGGCTAAAAGGCACCAGAGAACCAGAGGATTCAATGCTACCTCCTGGGCTTCTAACCTGCAGAGTTGCTGCAGATCCATGCATCCCAGGAAAAGGAGCAGAAAGAGAATCTGTGGCAGGCTCTGAAGCAGCTGGAGAACCTGCTGAAACAAGCTCTGGAGCGAATCCCCAAGCTGCAGAGGGTTGTGGGGGACTGGTGAGAGGGGGCTGTGGAGGACTGGTGATGGGGGGTAGGGCCAAGCAGGGTGGAACAAGCCAAACTCAGGGCTTAGGGGGGAGGAAGGGGAAGGGGCTGGTGACAGACAGGCATGGTGTGGGGAAGCCACTGAGGATCTGGAGACCCAGGCCTTTCCTCTAACATCATCCTTTTCCCCAGGTGGGATCAGCCAGGCCAAGTTGCCCTCTCTGGGGAGCTCTGCCAGGGCCTGTCCCTGCCCCAGTGGCAGCTGCGCTGGGTCCAAGCCCAAAGCACCCTGCAGTAGCTGTGCAGATGAAGAAGGGACTCAAACAGCAGTCAAGAGCACATTCACCCTCACACCTCAACGCCCCCACCATGGAAGACAGCATTGCCTGGGTGTGTCGCCCATTGTTTCTATCCACACCTGCCACCCCCTCACAGGCTGTGCTGCTGTTCCTCTCAACTGCCTTACTCCTGTCCGGTCATGCCACCGAAGCCAATGCGGTGCTCTGGACCCAACCCAAGGTCCCCCTGAAACTCCCCTCATCACTGTCACCCTCAACCTAAAGTAATTGAGCACCTGCTGTAAACACTGAGGATCCAGCACTGAACAAAATGGACAAAAGTCCCTACTTTCAGGAACAATGAAACACACCGCTGTATTTAGGGATTCCAGCCCCCTGGCGCAGTTGAAAATCCACATACAACTTTTGTTTTTGACTGCTCCAAAATTTTACTAATAGACTGCTCTTGACTGGAAGGAAGCCTCACTGGTAACATAAACAGTCAATTAATAAACATTTTGTATGTTTCATGTATTATATACTATATTCTTACAGTAAAGTACACTATGAAAAAATGTTATTAAGAAAATCATAAGGGCCCTGGCTGGTGTGGCTCAGTGGATTGAGTGCCGGCCTGCGAAACAAAGGGTCGCCGGTTTGATTCCCAGTCAGGGCATATGCCTGGGTTGCAGGCCAGGTCCCCAGTGGGGGGTAAGGGAACCACACATTGATGTTTCCCTCTCTCCTTCCTTTCCCCTCTCTCTAAAATATTTTTTTAAATCAAGGAAGAGAAAATGCATATACAGTACTGTATGTATTATTGAAAACAATCCACATATAAGTGGACCTCTACAGTTCAACCCTGTATTGTTCAGGGTAGGCTGGACAGGGTGAGAGTGGTATGGTTACACAGTTGTGTTGACTCATCAGAACTCCTTAGGCTGTACTTTTTAGATCTGCATTTCACTGTGTGAATTATTCTTCAATTTATAAAGTGAAATTTACCCACCTAAACTTTATAAAGTAAAACTGGGTGACTTGAGATGCCCCCTTTTCACATACTAAGTTTCTGTGAGTAATTGTATCTGAGTTCTCTCCAAGCCTATTGTCTGTCTTCTGTGTGCCATCCCATGTTTTTTTTTTATTATGCAGGCTTTGTAATACTTTTTATTTTAAAAGTTTTTATTTATTTTTAGAGAGAGAGGAAGGGAGTGAGAAAGAGAGGGAGAGAAACATCAATGTGTGAGAAAAATATTCATCAGTTGCTTCACATATGCCCCAACCAATAACCTGGTCCACAACCCAGGCATGTGCTGTGACCAGGAATCAAACCAGCAACCTTTGCTTTTCAGGATGTGCAACCAACTGAGACACACCAGTCAGGGCTGTAATACCTTTTAGTATCTGAAATGGCTGGTTGCCATCTTATTCAAGGTTTTCCTGTCTCTTGCTACTTTTTTCTCCCAATGAAATGAACTTCATTTCCAACTAACATGGCTCCAGAAGAAATAGAAACACAAATGGAGGGTTTATTGGGGTTGTAGTTAAGTGTATAAATTAGGCAGATTTGACATTTTTGTCATCTTGAACCTAGCTTTCCATCTCCTTTCTTGACCTCCAAAGTACCCTCACTCCCAATGCTCTTTCTGTCCCTGGCTATTCTTCCCGAGTCTTTATGCATTTTCTTTCCTATGTGCCCCCTCCTCCCTTTCTTCATCTCAGCCCCATCTCCCTGCTTAATTTTTCTCCATAGTATATCTTCTAACATACTATGTTTTACTTTATCTTTGATTGGGCAAATTTTCTGAAATATGATTCAAAACCCAGATGCAATAAAGGGAAATTGACAAAAACAAAATTTTGTATGGCAAAAAAAAAAAAATGGGCAAAGTAATAAAAATTACAAACTAGGAATAAATTTTGCAACTTATTCCCTAAAGGAGTGTGTGTATATGCACATGTGTGTGTGATATCAGATTAGAAAAAAATTCCAAGTTCCTGGAGAAATAGGCAAAATATATAAATGGACTACTTTCAGAAAATATGCTGAAAATCATAACAGGAAAGCAAATTGAAATCACACTTTGATACATTTCCAATCAGACTGGGGAAAAGGAAACCCAAAATTTTGACAGCTCACTCTTGGCAAGACTATGGGAAAATAGCGCTCATAATACATCAGTGGACATACAACATGGGACATCACCTATGAGAAAATTTCCAGCAAAGCTGTAACCGAACAACTAGTGGGGTTCTACTGCTTGTTGCCCATAGGCAATAACTCCAGAGACAAGAGTTCAGTGGAAAGGAAAAAGTAATGTTTTTATTTAAAAATATGCAGTTTTTTGGTGGGCACCCCGCAAAGTCCTGCCAGAAGAGTACATGGGCAGCTGGCTGTGGACACCACAGTGGCTTCCCACACACAAGGGCTAAGGGCTTGCCTCCCAGCCACATCACCTCCCAGTACCCACCAGCCCCACCACCTTCTTACCAGCCTAATACCAGAAGTGCTCCTGGTCAGTCCTGGAGCTCTCAGGGAGAGGGGTGTGGGCCTATTCCCTGACTGCTCCTGGGCTGCCCCTGACAGGCCTGCACCGTGGACAGACAGCAGCCACCATAGCTTCACGTCTGAGCAAGGGGCCTGGGGCTTGCTGGCCAGCCATGCTTCCAGAGCCCGCTGGTCCAAGCTTTGACTTGCCCCTGCCCTCTTACCAGAACCTGCTGCGCTTTGGCCAGGCAGGTGTTACAGCACTCAGATGGGGGCATGAGGAATCCTCCCGGGAAGGTCCACAAGCTCAGGAGCTTCAGCTCCCAGCCACAGGACCACCAGTCAGGGAATGGGGGAGCAAAAGCACATTGCATTTCCCTATGCTATGCTTTTTAAGGCCCCCATAATCTCCCACATAGCACAAGTATATGAGAGGGTACATCCCTCCCATCCAATCGCCTCCCTAGCTTTTGGCACCAGCTCTACACTAAATGCCTCTTTTTGCTGCCTCGGGTGTGTATGCATCATCTGGTTTGCTCAGTGACACACGCAAGCGCTGTCTTTGGCGCTTCTCCACCCTTCCCCATTTCTGAGGGTCCCCTGTTACAAAACTAGATATATGTTTACTCTTTGCCTAAGCAATCCCACTGTTAGGAATCTATCCTGGATGAAATACAAGTTGTGGGACCTTGTGTAAAACAACTAGACTGTATTCTTCAGAAGATCAATGGGGATTGGTTGGTTCTGTTTCAGATTGACAGCCAAATGCAATGTGGGATCCACTTGCAAAAATCAACCAATAGCCCTAGCTGTTGTGGCTCAGGAGATTGATCATTGGTCTGCAAACTAAAAGGTTCCTGGTTTGATTTCCAGTCAAGGAACATGCCTGGGTTGCAGGCCAGGTCCCTAGTTGGGGCGGGTGAGAGGCAACAGATCAGATGTTTCACTCCCTCTCTTTCACCCTTCCCATCACTCTAAAAGTAAATAAATAAAATCCTTTAAAGAAACAACCAATAAATGCATAAGTGGAACAACAAATTCATGTTTCTCTCTCCCTTACTCTCTAAAAAATAAATTTTAAAAAGATTAAAGTTTAAAAAAATGGTTTGAAGTACATTTTTGGGACAACTGGAGAAATTTGTGTATTGGAAAAATATTGTATCTTGTTTAAATATCTTTGGTAGAATAATGGTATTGCAGTTATATGGAAGAATGTTCTTAGAGGGTATGTGTTGAACTACTAAGGGTGATATCTGCAACTTATTTTCAAACAAGTCATGCCAGGAGACAATAAGATAGAAAGCAGAGGGACAGAAGCCAGACATCTCAAAATGTACATTGTTTCATACTTTAAGAAAAATTATAAACATCTGTTTGAGCCAAAACTGATAACATCCAGAATCAACATCTCAAATGCTCCTCTTTCATACTTTTGACTAGAAACATCTGATATTTTTTAAATGAGGAAAGGAAAAAAGAAATACCTAAATATTGAAAACAAACTGAAATAAATGTCCTGATTCTGTATAAAGTTGGTGGCACAATTGTTTCAGGTAAGAATTATTTCTGCTGATGTTAAAACAGTACTTTTAGTTAATGCTTCCAGTGGTACATAGGTCCTAAGATAAAAAGAACTGCAATGAAATTTTAAATTGAATTCAATAGATTTTATTATTCATATAATACTGATTTTTTAAAATATATTTAATTAGGTTATTACAGTTGTCCCATTTTCCCCCTTTACTCCCCTCCACCCTCCCTCCAACCCACATCCCCCACTTTAGTTCATGTCCATGTGTCATACTTATAAGTTCTTTAGCTTCTACATTTCCCATACTATCTTACCCTCCCCCTGTCTATTTTCTACCTACCATCTATGCTTACTTATTCTCTGTACCTTTTTCCACTTTCTCCTACTCCCACTCCCCTGTTGATAACCCTCCATGTGATCTCCATTTCTGTGGTTCTGTTCCTATTCTAGTTGTTTGCTTAGTTTGTTTTTGTTTTAGGTGTGGTTGTTAATAATTGTGAGTTTGCTGTCATTTTACTATACATGTTTTTTATCTTCTTTTTCTCAGAAAGTCCCTTTAACATTTCATAAAATAAGGGCTTGGTGATGATGTACTCCTTTAACTTGACCTTGTCTGAGAAGCACTTTATCTGCCTCTCCATTCTAAATGAAAGCTTTGCTGGATAGAGCAATCTCGGATGTAGGTCCTTGCCTTTCATGACTTGGAATACTTCTTTCCAGCCCCTTCTTGCCTGCAAAGGCTCTTTTGAGAAATCAGCTGACAGTCTGATGGGCACTCCTCTGTAGGTAAGTGTCTCCTTTTCTCTTGCTGCTTTTAAGATTCTCTCTTTATCTTTAGTCTTGGGTAATGTAATTAGGATGTGCCTTGGTGTGTTCCTCCTTGGGTCCAACTTCTTTGGGACTCTCTGAGCTTCCTGGACTTCCTGGAAGGCTATTTCCTTCACCAGAATGGGGAAGTTCTCCTTTATTATTTATTCAAATAACGTTTCCACTTGTTGCTCTTCCTCTTCTCCTTCTGGTGCCCCTATAATTTGGATGTTGGAACATCTAAAGATGTCCTGGAGATTCCTAAGCCTCTCCTCATTTTTTTGAATTCTTGTTTCTTCATTCTTGTCTGATTGGATGTTTCTTTCTTCCTTCTGGTCTACTCCATTGATTTGAGCTCCGGTTTCCTTCCCATCACTATTGGTTACCTGTACATTTTCCTTTATTTCACTTAGTGTAGCCTTCATTTTTTCATCTAATTTGTGACCATGCTCAACCAATTCTGTGAGCATCCTGATCACCAGTGTTTTGAACTATGCATCTGATAGGTTGGCAATCTCTTCATCGCTTAGTTGTATTTGTACTAGAGCTTTGATATGTTCTTTTGTTTGGGTTATTTTTTTGTTTTTTGTCTTGATGTTCCTGTTAAGTAGTGAGGGGTGGTACTCACCAAGGCGGGGTAACACGGGTCACTAGGCTGCGATGCTGTGTGTGGGAGAGGGGTCTGAAAGGGAACAATGGCATTTGCTC